ATGTGCTGATAAAATGGTGACTTTGCCAAGTTGGCAAAATCTTCAGTTTTCCAGATGAAAAGGGCAGGCAGAAATCATGACACTGAAGCGGATTCCAGTGAGAACCACCCACATGAGGAAGGCTGGTGGCATCCTCGGAACTAGAGACCAATGGCCACTTGCCCTTAGCAACATATTCAAGCAAAAAGGGGAAGAGGCCTATCTGACTACCCCTAAGCACTCTGCTCCAGACACGAGACCATGTGGATACTCTTCTCCTAAAGCAGTGGCTCCCAACCCTCGCTGCCTAGGAGAATCACTCGAAAAATCTTTAAAAAAAAAAAAAAAAGCAAAAAACAAAAATAACAACTCTTATTTTATTGGCCCAGCTGGTGCCTCAGCACTTCTGTTTTGTCAAAGTTTTTTAGGTGATTCTAATACGCAGTCCAGGGTTGAAAATTGCTAGCCTATGGTACAACTTGCAGGCAGCAACAGGTGAAAATTGACTCATGTTTTCCTAATTGACAAATTTAGAATTTCCTGACTGGAGTTTCAGCTGTGATGACTGGACCTGTTAATGACATGCACGATGCTTTATTGAGTGGATTTGTCCACACTGGGATTTCCATTTGAAGAGAACTCGAGATGATTGAGTGTTCTCTTGTTTTTCCCTTTTTCTTTTGTGAGGGCAATATATTTATGGGTGTCCTATCTAGCTCAAGCAACATGGTTTTAAAGTGTGAGAAAATTCAAAGCTTAATTTGGGTAAAGGGGGAATTAGTGATATATTTCTGATGAGAAAAAAAATAGACACCCCTCCCCCCCTTCTTTTGTACCAGTTTTTGCTGGAGTCAAGGAAGAGCTGAGCCCTGCTCTGGTGTTTGGCGGGAAAAGGCTGCTCCGCAGGCTGCTCAGAGGAAGGCCGAGTGGGCTCTGGGCGGGGCTCGGGTGGGTGGAGAAAGGCAAGGTGAGCGGTACTTAGAGCTTTGGGAATATAGGCAAATGCTTCCTGCAGCGTCATGAACCAGGTGGCAAGCTCCGGCTGTACCATCAGCCAGGAATCTAGAGGAAGCAAGCTTCCAAAATTGTGCTAATGTCATCCAGCACTAGGAAGACATGAGCTCGCAAGCCATGGAAAGCTGGGGAGGAACCTTAAATGCATATCACTAAATGAAAGAAGCCAATCTGAAAAGGCTACACACCATATGAGTCCAACTATATGCCATTCTGGAAAAGGCAGAATATTTCTTCAAATATGAATTTCTGCACATCATTGACAACTTAAAAAGTTTATTTTTTTTCTTATGAAAATAATACACTTATTATGGAAAAACTACAAAGAAAATGGAGGAAAAAATATCTGCAATTCTACGATTTCAGAGATAAATACCCACGTTAATGGTTTGGTGTATATCCTTCTGTTGTTTACTTGTGCACACGTATGTATCTATAAACATATATGTGCATATATTTTTCTACAAAAATGTACTGAGTATTCTTTTTTGGTAAAGTGATTTTTGTATTTATTAAAATTGAATGACCATCATTCTATGTTACTGAAGATTGTATTCAATACTTTATATACACGACAAGCTTTTGTGTGGATTTTCCACGATATCCTATTGTTCAACGATTAATATTTATTTTTCCAATTCTTCTTTATTCTCTAAGCTACTTCATGGAATTTCCTTTTGACTAAAGGTTAAGAAATAGAATAGCTGGGTCCAAAGCTGAGTGATATTTTATAGACTGTTGATCATTATCATTATCGCTAAATCATTATCATCATATCGTTAACTATCTCCACCAAACTATGTTCATTCACACTGGCACTTCACCGGTACTAGGACTTCTCCTTCCCCACCCAACTTTTGCTAACTGACAGGCCCCACATGGTATCTCATGTTGTGGACTATTCTTTGGCCACAGTGAAATTGAACATTTATTGACTATTAGTATCTTTCTCTGAAAATTGATTGCTTGTTCCCTATCACATAGTTTTCTCTTGCAGTTCCCCTTTTCGTATTGAATTATACAAATGTTTTAAAAACATATAAACTCTGTTAGCACTGCCATATATAGTGTGTAGCATTTCTCCCCTCTGCTTTTACTCTATCTACAGCGGGGTTTTAGAAAACCATTTGATGCCAGTGTTTTCCGGCATTTCTTGTTTACTATACCTGTCACAGGTAAAGCATTATAGTTCACTGGCCTTAAGGAGTTCTTCCAGAAGCCCCTCCAAAGCACACTGTGATCATCCGGTGGAAACATCTGTGCAATTGAAACATCCTTAATGTCTCTGTCCCAAACTCAAAGAACTATAAAGAGCACACTTAATTTTACTTGATCATTGGCCCCTTATTAATCTTGGAAAATTTTAATGTGTAGGCAAGCATATCCAAGCCAGCTCACAAGTTACTGTGCAATTGGTTCCAAATGATTGAGGTAGAGGGGTTTTTTTTTTTTTTTCCTAGCTAAAAGAACTTTGTCTCTCTACCACTAAATTATGACATGTTATCTCCCAAACTTAACAGCATCCAGTGGTTCTATCTCTAGGTAATGCAACCCAGCTGGGGATCCAAGGTATGCAAAGCCCATGCTTTAGAACAAAAGGGTATTTTTCACTAGCCAGTAAATAAAAGTGCTTTTTTTTTCAGCTATAAAAGGACAAAAGGTTTTGAAATGATCCCACTGGGCAGGGTTTCCTAGACTTGTTTTTTTGGCGGTCGGCCATGGAGCTAACTTAGAGTCTTCCAAACTTCTTCCATTTTTGTAGCAGTGTGAGGATTTCGCTGGATGAGACTAGAGTCACTTCGTGGTACAACGACTAATGCCCAGGGTGCTCTTAACGTAGAGGCAGCCACAATGGGACATCGAGCAGGGGCATCAGAAGACCATTGATCAGTGTGCACAAAGACCTAAAAACTTGAACATTTTCCCTTTTTATTTAAATAACTTCATTGCTCCCTCTGGGTTATATGTTTTCCTCCTCTAGAAACATGTAATACTGTAAATTCTTGTTACAACAAGAACAGTAAATGGTCTATAGCTTCAGTTAGAAGTTGACAACGACGTTTAACTTAACTAAGGTGTTGTTTTATCCCATTTTCAAGGTTTTAATAGCTCTGTGACATCAGGTCTGCCTTGTTGATTTTCCACATATGTTTCATAGTCCTAAAACCCAAGGTTGCTGTTGTCCATTCTTATTGCCCTGTTGCAAGAAGGATTGCTCCATGCCCTGGACTAAGTCTCGTTTCTTAAGACACTACTATTACTGGAATTAGAGGACAAAATTATATGCATACCTGAGAACAATTTGTCAAAGCATTTATTGAGGAATTGTCACTGTGTAGGTACTTTATGTGAATTACCAACGACAAAATCAACAACAACAACTTGTGATATCGCAGTCACTGTTCTAAATACCTATGCATATTTAGTCACTTAATCCTGACAGTAACCCTGGGGGGTAGAGGCTATGATTGTTCCTATGTTACAGACAGGTATAGAAAACAAAGGCAAGTGGGAGAGCCAGGATTTGAACATGATAAATCTCACTCTAGAACCCACCCTCTTTGATTAAATTGATACAACAATACTGCAAAATTGGCGATGGTGTCCACATTTTACAGATGGGAAGCTGGGCTCAGAGAGGTTTAATAACTGTGTAGTAACTTTCCACACACCTGTGAAGTAGTGGAGTTTGGTTTAAACCCTAATTCTAAAGCCTTCTCCAGGGTTCTGACACTACAACATGTTTCTTTGTATTCATTTCAGAGGGAGCTTACTACTGGCCAATAGATGCTTAAATGGGCCTGCGCCAAACTCTTCTGGTTTCCCGTTGCACAGGAAGCTAACCATTTAGACTGCACTCTTCATGGCATGAATGACACGATAAGAACTGCCTCAACTCTTTCTGTATAAACAGCTGTAGGATTTAGCTTGTGGGTTCATTCCTGCCTCAGGGACTTTGCACTTGCTGTCCCTTGGCTTGGAATACGTCATCCCCAGATCTTGGCATAGCCAACTCCTTCTTCTCAGGTGTCACCTCAGATGTTGTCACCTCAGTGCGCTGGACCTAACTCCCTGCATCAGTTTCCTGGGGCTGCCATGACAAATCGCCACAAACGAGGTGGCTTAAAACAATGGAGATGTTATTCTCTCACAGTTATGCAGGCCAGAAGTCTAAAGCCAAGGTGCTGGCAGGGCCATGCTTCTACTAACGGTGCTAGGGGAGGATCCTTCCTTGTCTCATTCAGTTTCTGGTGGCTCCACGTGCTCCGTAGCTTGTGGCAGTGTAACTCCAATCTCTGTGTTGTCTGCACAGCTTACTCCTCTGTACTCCTATAAGAACACTTGCCATTGGATTTAGGGCCCACCTGGATAATCTAGATGAGATTGGCATAATCTCATTTCAAGATCTCTAGTTTAATTACACCTGCAAAGACTGTTTCCCCAAATAAGGTCACAGTCATCGGTTCTGGGTGGACCTATCTTTTGGGGTTGGGGGCCCACCATTCAACCTTAGGTAAAGTCACCCTTCTTGCTGTTATGCTCTGTGACATCACCACTCCCTGTATTTTCTTCAAAGAACTTGTCCTTATTTGATGCATCTTGTTCTATCTGTCTTCTTTTGCTTGTCTCCACCTACTTGAATTTATGAGTAAAGAGCTGTCTTTTTCACTGCTGTGTCCCTAGCATGTAGAGCAATGCTTGCTATATGGTACAGATCACTGAATATCTACTGAATAAAGGAATGAAATCACTGGACTAATGTGATGTCGACTTGGCTCTTTGATCACTTCAACAATTTCCAGGGTTTTATTTTTTGTTATTTTGTGTTATTTGGATTTCAGTTGCAGAAATGCAAATATATTATGGGACATATATTTGGTATAATGGGTAAATGTATCCAGCCATTTCAATATAACATTCAATCACTAACTGGTCTTCTTAGCTCGGTTAGCTTTTACTTTGGCCCCAGAACTGAATCCTCAGCTGAGTGTTTCTTTCTCCCTTAGGCTCTGACCACCTCCGAGAGAAAGACGGTCTCTGGGCTGTCTTGGTCTGGCTCTCCATTATCGCTGCCCGGAAGCAGAGTGTGGAGGAAATTGTTCGAGATCACTGGGCCAAATTTGGCCGCCACTACTATTGCAGGTGAGGCGGAGGGGAAGGATTTCTGGACGGACACTGGGGAACTACTCTTAGAGCAGGTTTCTAAAACTGATGGGCTAGAACCTTAAAAAGAAGGCATGTTTCAGGAAGACAGGTCACCCTTGATAGAGGGTTGAGGGTGACATCAAGGGCTACCAAGCGGGAAGGTACAAATTTCCTTAGTGATATTTCTCCGTAATCTTTACATCAATGCCTGTGTATGGTGGGTGGTCATCCCAAGAGGAAATCTGAACTACAAAGCTTTGAACTAAAGTGCTTTGGTAACCATGGTGGCTGTGAGAGTCGTGCAGTCAAACCAGAGGCATTCCTTGTTGGTTTTCCACTCATACTTATCAAGTGAGTAGGGCAGACACAGAAGTAGTGACAGTAGTAATCCTCTCCCTGCTTTTGTCTTACCTCCTCACCAATGGGGCAAACCATGTCCAAAATGCATGAGCTGGCATCCTTTGAATGGACCACATGGTTCATGAGCCCTAGATTTTGCTAAAGTTTTGGTCTAATGAAAGGAGGCACAGAAAACACTACCTGGGAAGGAGGAAGAGGAAAGGTCAGTGGGTAGGAGCTTAGAATTGGGGGTCTCTATCTCTTTCCTGTTGCTGAAGTGAGAGAAAGAGTGTTCTGGATGCATGGTTGCCTACTAGATATGTGAACATACCTAGTACCAAGTTATGGTTTAGGGGTAGGGAAGAGGAAAGGCTGTTAACTGTGCAGAACTTGAGGGTAGGGGCAAGAGAATCCTTGGGTAGTCTCAGAGGCTCTCTGTGTTTTAAAAACAGAGATTATATCTCATTTTGCTTTGCTTTTGAATAGTTAACTACTTTGAATGTTTGGTTGTATTTCAAAAGCTTAAGGGACAGAAAGAACACTTTAGAGTTCCCTTATAAGGTGATTGTTTTTTCTCTCAAGAAATCACTTACTTAGATAAATATCAGAGAATAAAGAAGGTTGTGATAGTACTCATTAAAATCAAAGAGATAGCAACTTTCTGGGGAATGTAGACAGCACCATAATTCCTGTTTAGTCAAGAAGGCTGAGGATGTGATAGCCTGCACACTACCTCCAATTATTTATTGTATCATAAAAAAAGGGTTCTCAATGCAGGCAGGTAGGAACTTGTTTTATTTGACATTATTTATAATAAGTGTCAAAACCCCCCAATTTTTGTGTGGTTTTTTTTTTTTTTTTTTTTTTTTTTTTGGCATACCAAGGGCCAATTGGCACATGAAATCCTTCTATTGCATAAGGTTCTTCCAAAAAATCTGACTTGATCAAATATATTATGATTGCCATCCTCTGGCTTAGTGAGATTGCTTTAAGTCAGAGTTGTATTTCTCATAATTTGTGGAATGATTAGGTTTCTGCTGGTGTTTGGAAGAATTGGTATTATGATAAGTGTATTTATAATATAGTTTATTTTTTGTGGCCAAGAGCTTACATGATAATTACTTTCTCATAACAAATGCCATATTAGAGAATAATATGCAATGGAGATTTAATTACTTATAGGGCGATGAATTACGTTTCAGATTTCTGTCCAAAAAGATCACAGAGATAAAAAAAAGGAGGCAGGAATCGGTAGAACGAAAGGTCAACATTTCCTTCAACTCCCAGCAAATGGCAAGTTGAAAGGTGCTTGTGAAGTGAAATTATTTCTAGCTTGACAATTCTCTTGGCAGGCAGAAGATAAAACAATTTCAGTTTAACTGAGACTGAGCCTGAAGTTGCATCTGAGAAAATCTCCGGGATGAATTTCCTTGTATGAGTAGACTCTAGAAGGAATTCTCCATTTAAAGGTTTCTTTCCTTTCCACCACTGGGAAGTGGTGGTGGTGGTGGGCAGAAGGGGAACTGCGGTGGAAGATGGTGCTAGGTCCTGCTTGTGTGTGGAGGGAATATTTGGGCAGGCTTGTCTGATGACCTCAGCCATAGACTGAACAAATCTATCACATTCATGGTTTTTCTCAACTTTTAAATCTCTTTCAGTGCCTCCCTATCTTCTACTACACCCTCCTCTCCCGTCTTCCTGCCCCCTTGCTTGGTTAGGTCTTCACCTTCTCCAAATAACTATCTTTAAGAAGCTAGTTTCAGAAACATGCAGTGCTGAAAAAGAATGTCTTCAGGGGGTTTCTTGTTTTTTATGTTATATTTTATTTTATATTATTTTACTTTTATTTTAGTATTTGATTTCATTTGATTTTTTTCCTGAAGCTGGGGAAGAAGCACCTTGTTTAGGAGAGGAGCATTACAGAAAGCGATATAGATGCAGGGCACCCATGGCTTGACATGGTATCATTCCAGATTTTCCATCTTGCCTAGTACTCTGATGTTTACTGGATGTCTTAAAGGATCTTCAGTGGGAAAAAAAAAATAGTTACAGCTTATTCAGAGCTTCCTTCTTTCAGTTCGCTCTGAGAACTCTCATCCTTTCTGTATGCTGCAGGAAGCCCAAATGTGAGATCCCTCCACAGCCACTGGGGCTCAGCTGCCCCTCCAGGGGCGTCCCTGTTAAACGGACCCTCCTGGGTGTGCCACTAGGTCTCCCATGTGCCTGGCACTGTGCCAGCTGCTTGGTATGCATTATCATATTTTAAGCCTCACAGCAGCACATGCAATAACTATTCTTTTTCTTTTTCTTTTTTCTAATCACTTCCCAGCCTCCTTGTTATATTTGATGCACTTGGCTAGGAGAACTTTCAAAATAGAACAATTGTGACATTTCTCCCAAGTTTCTGAGAGAGAGTTTTATAGCATGTTCTGTTTCTTTTCTGTCTCCCTCTTTGCCTTCCTTGATTCTTCTCTTTCCTTTCTTCCTTCTTTTCCTTCCTCCCACCTTTCATTCCCTACTTCCATAGCACTTCCTATCAGCCAGAAGTAGCAGAGAGCAAGGCAGCTAAGGTCCCTGCCCTCCCGGAGCTCACATTCTGGTGGGCAAAGACAGACGATAGGTAAACAGGTGTACAAATGAGATACAGGTTGGGATAACTACCAACAGAAAATATAAAGGGCGATGAGAGAGGGGGAAGCAGAGCTCCCTTAGATAGATGGTCAGAGATCACTTTCTGGAGGTGACAGCAAGTTTGAATACTGAAGGCAGAGAATCAGCCAGCGGATTGAATAGCTGGAGGAAGAGTGTACCAGGTAGATGGAACACACGGCGCGGGCAGAGGTCCGGAGGCAGGAAAGGGTGAAGAGTCATTGAGTGCAGGAAAGGAGGCCAGCGAGGCTGGAAGAAGTGAGCAAGGGTGAAAAGCAGAACAAGGTCACTAGGTGAACAGGGCTGATCCCACATGCCTGATACACTGTGGTTAGGGCTTTGAGTTTTGTTCTCAACATCATGAGTGTTTCTGGAGGGGCTCAAAGGAAAGGAGTGGCGTGATTTGATTTTCACAAGATCACTCAGGCTGCTGTAAAGAGGATGGATGACGAGGGCCAGGTGGGAGAGGGGAGGCTGGTTGAGGGTACTTTTCTGTGCTTCCCTTCCTTGAAAACAGAAACAATGATTAGATGACCTTAAGAGGCACACCCAGTTAGTTGCTGCTTCTCTGTTTTTGTTCATCCTGTGTCCTGCCCTCCCTCGCCAGGTTTGACTATGTGGGGCTGGAGCCCAAGACGACGTATTACATCATGAGGGACCTGGAGGCCCTGGTCACAGGCAAGTCCTTCGTTGGCCAGCAGTTTGCCGTGGGGAGCCACGTCTACAGTGTGGCGAAGACAGACAGCTTTGAGTACGTGGACCCTGTGGATGGCACCGTGACCAAGAAACAGGTACTCGCTATGATGTCACTAAAACAGGTTGTTAGACAGAACCGGTGGCCAAAGTGTCCTAGAGTTGGAGAGGTCTTTAGGGATGATCTGTTCTGAGCCCTAATTGTACAGTTGAGAACTCTGCAGCCAGGAAAGAGGAAAGCCCTTGATGAAGGCCACTAGTTAGTGGCAGAGAATGGATTAGAACATAGGTCTTCTCTGTCCAGTATTCTTTCTACTTGGTGACAGATGGGCCAATACCTCAAATATATATAGATCCAACATTTCCTTCTGAAATACTTATAGCCTGCAAGTGCTCTTGTGTGGTGGCCATTATCGGCGATGGATTCAGAAAAGTTTCCAAAAGCAAAAGATCCCTGCCCTGGGGACCCCCAGGTACAGGGACATTTCACCTTCTATTACCTTATGTCTTTGAGGAATCATAGAAGCTTAGCCAGATGGGTTTGGTACCCTGGTAAGGGAAGAATCAGTAGAAAAATTTGCCCAGAAAACCCAAAAGGAAGACACAAATGAGGATTATCATAGATGAGTGGCAAAGTCAACCACCCTATCTATTATGGTCTTATCTTTGTGAATCATGTAAGACAGGTTAATAGCTACTATAAGTATTTTACTTCTCAGTTTTGTTTATTTATTGGCAATGGCAAATATTGACCCCTCTGGGAGCATATGTTAATGTTTATAGTCTAAATAACACACTGTGGGTAACATTAAGAGAAGTTCTATTCTAAAATTTCCAGATTCTTATTTTTTTTTTAGGTGTTTCTGACATTTTCTTATTTTTCATTTTTCTTTTAATGTATAAAAGACCATATATGATTTTTTGAGTGGATTTACCATAGTGTTCTTTGTTTGTTTCTGCATATTATGGGGGTACAAAAGTTTGGGTTATGTATGTTGCTGTTGCCCTCCCCCATCCCCCAGTCAGAGCTTCAAGTGTGTCCATCCCTCAGATGGTGCGTATCATACTCATTATGTGTGTATATACCCATCCCCTCTTCCCCCCTCCCATCTGCCCAACACTCAATAAATGTTATTCCTATATGTGCACTTAGGTATTGATCAGTGAAACCAATTTGCTGGTGAGTACATGTGGCGCTTATATTTCCATTGTTGGGATACTTCACTTAGTAGAATGAGTTCCAGCTCTATCCAGGAAAATACGGATTCTTAATTTTTTATACATTCTTCCTAAGTACAGACTATATTAAACAAGTCAGAAGCTTCAGGTCTTTTGGGACTACATATGAGGGCTGTCCGGAAAGTATCCAGCCATGTAACTGTTCTCATTGTATTATCAATGGCTAGATACTTTCCAGACAGCCCTTGTATCATGGTAGTTACTAATTTAATTTGACTTGTATATCCTATATCCTCTTTTTCCTAGGGTCCCTGAGGTACAGATATTCCAAATCCCAATGCTCTTTTGTTTCTCTCTTGATATTTTCTCTCTGGTTTTCTTAGTTTTATGGTAATCTTTCATGTATATCAAAAAGTTAGTCTTTCATTCTAGAAGCCCTACAGTGGCCCAACAAAAGGATTACCACCTCACTTTGGAAAATGGTAGTAGAGAAAATAGTGGATAAGAAGTTAGAAGACTCAGAATCAAATCCTACCCGGGCCACTTAATAGTTGTATGCCTTTGGGAAAGTTGCTTGATTTCTTTGAGCTACAGTTTCTTCCTTATTTGTAAAATACCTATCTCACAGAACTGTTTTAGAAACGGAATGAAATAAATTATACCAAAGCTCCTAGCTATCTTTTATAGAGAGAGTGTACAATACATTTCTCTGGTTGTGTTTTGTTTCACTCAGGAAGATTGCTTGTAGACTGGACTGAATTCACTCTGAAATAACAACAACAAATCAGTCCTTGCAGATACAAAGACAGGAGCTCAGCTGGCATCTTTGAGCCCCTGTGTCCCAGATAAGACTGTTCCAGTTTTGTACCACGTTCCCACTTTACACAGGGCCCTCAGGACAAACTTTTCCTAATTCCAAGGCTTATTTTGTTTTTGTTAGTGTAGAATTCAAGCGACATAAAGTGCTTTCTAAGGTATCCTTGGGAGGCTTTTGTTCACTGATGAGGAAGGCTTGGGCACCACTTGTTGGAGGAGGCCCGTGCAAGCGTGGGGAACCCTTATTAAAAGGATTTGTTCTGTAAAATTTGTATTCAGTCAAAAGGCCACACTCAAGGATCCAGAAAGCCACATGTGATCCCAAGGCCACAGGTTCCCCACCCCTGTGAAGCTTGTCTGTTGAGCTAATTTGTTTTGCTATTTATTCAATATTATTCTACCTTATATGTTCCTCAATGTACTCAGCATTTGTATACTTTTTTTTTTAAATTTAACCATTCGCATCAGGCTAACTCCTCCACTGGATCTCTAGTCCTGACATTTACTTATTCTATTCCCCTTCCCCCTCTACAACCCTGCATATTGGCTGCCATTTTTATTCTGGAATTGATTCCCTCCCTCCCTTCCTTTCCGTGTTCTCCCATCTGAGCTTAGATGTGGCTGTAAATAGGTAAGTGCTACCAAGACCTGCTCTTGAGAGTTTTTCTAGGAAAGAAGAAAATAAAGATGGTTGATCATTTTCCCAGATTTCAGGGCCCAAGTGACATCCTCATTGGCTGGTGGCCCTGAGTCACACTGAAGTTCTCTGCAGGTCTGGGCTTTGGCTCAGCGAGTGTGATGAGAGACCAGTTAACACCCAGGGACATCTTCATTGCCAGCAAGTCACAGATGGTTCTTTTGCCACAGCTGGACTTGTTGGGTAGAGAGGGAATCCCTGCACAGCGTGGTGTGCTGTGGCAGCACTCTTGAGATGTCAACAGATACCAGCGTGCAGCTCCAGGAATAGTGGAGTCCGGGGCACACTTCGGGTCACGTTTTATAAAATAAGCATATGTTTTCAAACTATAGATACCAAAAAGACATATTTGAATTTAAATGATCTAGTATTATTTTAAAATAGTCAAAGTATATTGGTGCATTCATTCAATGGATATTTACTGAAAGCATGCCAAATGCATAATTTGTTTTTTATAGTACAGTTTTTTATATAAATATAAAACAGCTTTATTGAGATATAATTCTCATACCGTACATTCTCATACCGTACATTTCACTATTTAAAGTGTACACTTCAATGGTTTCTAGTGTTTACAGAGTTGTGCAGTCATCACCACAATCAATTTCAGAACATTTTTCATCACCTCGCAAAAGAAACCTTGTGCTCTTTGGTGGTCATCTTTCTTCTAACATCCCTCCAACCCCCAGCCCCTGACAAACTCCATTCTACTTTCTGTCTCCATGGATTTGCCTACTCTGGACATTTCCTATAAATGGAATCATATAGTATGTGGTCCATTCTGACTAGCTTCTTTCACTTAGTGTAATGTTTTCAGGGTTCATCTGTGTTGTACCAAATATCAGTACTTCATTCCTTTTATTGCCAAATAATATTCCATTGTGTGGATATACCACATTTTGTTTATCTATTCACCAGTTGACGAACATTTGGGTTGTTTCCACTTTTGGGTTATTATGAATAACACTTCTGTAGACATTCATAGACAGGGTTTTGTGTGAACACAGGTTTTCAATTCTCTTAGGTAAAAATTTCAATTCTCTACCTAGGAGTAGAATTGCAGGGTCAAGTGGTAGCTCTCTTTAACCCTTAAAGGAGCTGCCATATAGTCATCAGAAGTAACTGCCTACTGTTTTACATTCCTGCCAACAGTGTGTGAGGGTTCCAGTTTTTCCACATCTTCGTTAACCCTTGTTATCATGTGATCTACTTTGCATCCTTGGCCCTCCAAAGCTCATCTGGAAGTTCCATCCCCAGTGTTGGAGGTGAGGCCTGGTGGGAGTTGTTTTGGTCAAGGGGGCGGATCTCTCATGAGTGGCTTGGTGCCTTCCTCTTGATAATGAGTGAGTTCTTGCTCTGTTAGTTTTCACATGCGAGCTGGTGGTTTAAAAGAGTGGGCTCTCTCTTGCTCCTTCTCTCCCATGTAACACGCCTGCTCCCCCTTCTCCTTTCACCACAATTGGAAGCTCCTTGAAGCCCTTACCAGGAGCAGATGCTGGTGCCATGTTTCTTGTCCAGTCTGCAGAACTGTGGGCCGAATATACCTCTTTTCTTTGTATAATAAGTCCCCCAGCCTCTGGTATTCCTTTATAGCAATGCAAAACAAACTAATGCACTATGTCTTCATTTTAACATACTATTATCTTAAAAACAACCTACTATAATATGGGTTATTTTTAAATTAATATAGAAGGATATTTAATCTCCATAAGGAGAAACAGAAGTATGTCTCCCTGTTAACAGAACCCAAGGGAACCATGATACTGTAAAATCTCTGCTTGCTGTGGGAGGCCGATCACTATGGTCCTCCTCAGTATTCTGTTGCGTTGGAGCCACAGACACGGGTTTGAAAGCTGGCTTTGTCACTGCCTTCCTTTGTGACTTTTGGCATGTTACTTAACTTCTCTGAACTTCAACTGGGAAGTGGGCTGGTGATATTTACCATATACAGGGTAATGGAAAAAGTTCGAGGAGAAAGTCCTGTAAAGCCCCAGGTACAGTGGCTGGTACCTAATCAGTGCTTGAGAAATATCAATTCCCTCCCCAGCCCTTACCAGAATACTTAATTTGACTGCATATCAATTTGAGGAAAGGATAAATCTCCTATTCTCTCTCTCTCTCATGTACAATCAAGTATATATTTTTACAAATAATCTTCAGTATGCCCTTAGGGTTAGAAAACATTCCTTTATTTATTCTATTTTTTAAAATACTTTGCAGTGAAATTTGAGGTTCAGATTAATGATCTCAAGGTAGTGGGGGATTCCCAGCTATCTCTTATTTGCTTTAAATTCTACTTACTAAGGGGAAAAAAGTAGATAACAGAAATGATTTTCAACAACAAAATTTTTAACCATTTTTTTTTTTGCTATTCCTGTTTTATCAAGAAATTATACTTAAGCACAA